GTGATTCTCCGTAAACCGAGTGTCAATAGGAGAGCCGAGTAAACCGACTTTCGGCGAGATATTACCGCTTTCCGGACTAGGTACTGCGCGGCGCTCGGCTCTCTCAATGAGCCTCTAATTGCGTAGATAAAAAAAAAGATACCGCCAAGGCCCTCTCGACGCAGCACGCGAAAGCCACGAAAAGATAGCTCCGCCCGGCGGCGAGCTGTACGTTATGCATCGATAAGACTCTATTTCCGTGACACGGAATAATCAAGCATCGGCTGCTAGATGCGCCCGCCGATACGTGCGCACTCCGCATGCAAGCCCGGGAGAGAGACCTTCCACGAACCGGCCGTCGATTCTGCAAACGTGAAATTTTTCTACGGTGATTACGGCCGCCTGCCGGAAATAGCGGTCTATTCCCTATCGGTATGTATTTCCAATGCACCGCCGGGAGGACTATAAGTTAAGTGTCGTGCGCCTGCTATAGACGGTCGCGCGCACACGCGGTGGCAGGTACATAACACGCGCGCGCGCGTGCGCTAGCACAAAGCGGACGATTTCTGCATGAAAAAATAAGTCGGAAGCACGCGATTAGGCTTGCCCGTGGGCACTTTGTTTTTCGAGGTAATCGACTTTGTAAGTGTCGATAATGCCGCATTCATTAGGGAATCGTTACGTTACCGCGAATCTGCGACTCAATCGCGAAATTATGCGATTCGATCGCTAAAGTGTTCGCACACACCTATTAAAACGCAACAACTTTTTTTGTTCAAACTGCTTGATTTTCCTTTTTGGTTAAAATGCTTTCCTTTTTTTTAATTTTGCTATTAAATCGTCTAATGTATCATCTACAACAAATTCCAGTCGTTCAGCCCAGTTTTAACGCTCGCACAGAGAACCTCGGGTCCATTTTGACCCACGGTAGAAATTTTTTTGCTTGATCGTTTAGTTTCTGACAATTAATTTAAATGTTCACACGTGGTACATTCAAAGATACGACGAACGAATTAACAAATAAAATTATAAATCAAGCTGAACAAATTCGACCGTAATATTTTTCCTAAAAACGACCGTCATTCCGATGTTAAGGTTATGTCAAGGTTAAATGTTGTAAACACCTTGACATATAACCGTATAAATTTGATCTTCCTCGCTGGCGACCTTCTTGAATGCATGCACCGATTATTAATTCCGAGGTCGATTTCCCACCCCTTGTCAGCACCCTCTGCTGGCGCAATTAGCTAGGAATCACAGCAAGAGTCGAGGATTTATTTTTCTTCGTTCCGGCTAGGCGTAGATTTCGTATACAGGGTGCCCCAAAAATGTCTCGTAATCCGGAAATGGGGGATTCCTGAGGTCATTTGAAGTAACTTTTTCCTTAGCGAAAATGCGAACCGCTGCTTCGTTTACGAGTTATTAACGGAAAACTCTGACCAATAAGAAGCGAGCTCGGCCGGCGCAAGGCGGCCCAGCCAACGGACTCACGGAGCCCAGTTCCGTTTATTGGCTCGGCCGCCTCGCGCCGCGCTCGCCTCTCATTGGTCATTATTTCTCGTTAATAATTCCTAAACGAAGCCGCGGATTAAATTTGCTGTCCGGACAGCACTCTTTCCCTTTCTGATGGATGGACAGGCACCTATAGAAGCCGGTCAATCGATAGGCCCGTTCGACGACTAACCCCTTGCGGGAAAGGGGTTAAATAGACGCGAGTCGCGTACACGTCGCGGTGTTCGCGAGAAAGAGGATCACGTGTCTGACCCCCACGGCCTCCGGAACACGCATCGCGATACGGTGGATGTACAGTCACGGGTCATGCGATACAGTCACGACGTCGCGAGCGCGTCATCGCGTGTATTGACAAAATGTTTTCTATTGCATATCGCATGCGGAGCGGTACGCCGTGTTACTGCCTGGACGGACGCGATCCACGGACCGCCCGCGATCCGCCGACGTATACGTATCGATGTCTTACGTGATAACCCGGCCGCGGTCGGGAAAAATCGCCGTCGCGATTTCACGGATCCGTGATCAAAGAACGTTCCGTGTGTCCCTACGCCGCACGGTTGCGCACGGTTTTCGTGCAAGCGTCCCCCGACAAAAATCACAATTTCCGAGCCGATCGATCTTCACGATAATTTATTAAAGAAAACACAAAGATGCATCGATCTGCATGAAACAATTGTATGCTTCCATAAATCATCATTCTTGTCGCCTATATTTTTTATCGAACGGAAACTTTTAATACGGATCGTCATCGACGCAATTTATTATTCTTGGTCGAAAACCGAGTAACTTTCCTTCGAAAGATTTTTCCATTAATTTTGCGTTAAAAAGTTATTTTGAAAATTGCCTGAAAAATAGAGTTCGTTTCGCATAGGTGGGTCCGAGATCGGTTATGGTTACGTATTTTGTTGAATAACTTCCGTGATATCCTGCGCCGTTTAACCTTTAAGCCGACATAACCTTATCTAAAGCGTATGAAAATAAATCGAACTTCGTTGTAGCGTTTCGGATCAGTTATTAGAATGCTAATAAGTATCATAAAATTACTATACAGGTGAATTACGATCGTGCAACGCCTGGCCGTCGGTTTCTCTATGAAGATTGCCTTGTAAAGCAGCCTTTTGTTCCGAAGACAATGTAAACAAGCCGCGCTGCGAACTGCACCATTCGATCTTCCTAATATTCGCGCGAAGAACTCGCTCAACACTAATCTGCTGCTCGATTTTTTGAACATACTGTACCTAAATATGATCACGTATCACATTTTAACACATCGTACACATAATTTCGAGCAAACACCGAGCAGTGATTTTTATCAATTTCGTTCATTGACGGCCGCGCCGTGCGCCGCTTCGATTCGCGTCGCGCCGCGCCGCAACGGCGTTTTCGCGGCGAACCGTTGCGTCCGCGCGTGTGTCCGCTGACCTTTCCATGTTAACCTTCCCCTTGAAAAACACAGGAAACGCTTCCTACACGCGATCCCGAGCTGTCGGCTGTGCAACGGCTTTAACCCGTCGATCCGCCGACGCCGGGGTCACGTTCGACCCCACTCCTATGTATGACTTTGTAAAATCGGATAATCGATTCTGCACGATGTTGCATGCCGCCGGTGATCGAGACTCGGAAATATCCGTGTCCGTTCGAGAGAAATTTGCCCTTCCACGTCGCTCCTCGTACACGCGTACTTCCCGTCGATCTTTCATTTTCCCCACGGAAATATCGAACACCGCCGATAGGTGAAACACATCGTCGCGGCGAATCTCTGGCGCTACGCGAGCAAATCGTCCGTCGAGTCGCGCGGCACGATTCACTAACCTATAAGCGGCATTTACGTAGAATCCGGCCGCGATCTGTTCCAACATGTTTCCGCGATTCGTTTCTATTCGCAGCGTTTTCGTGGAATTTCCGTTTCTCGCTTCGTTGTATCGTGCAAAGAATATCTCTCAAAACCTTTCGGCGCTGCCTGTACTTTCGACGAACGCGATGCGCGCGGATGCATGGTTCCACACCACGTTTATGGTCCACAGCGTTCGTAGCGGCTAATTTGCGAAACGCGTTACACATTACTGTATTAACACGTTACCGTCCGGATGACTAAAAATAGTCATTTTCATGACCGCTCGCGAAATGCCGGTTGATTAAAAACAGTAGTCGTTTTCTCGATCGCTCGCGAAATGCAATTTAGAATAGAAAATACAATCGTGAAACTTATTCGCGCGATCGAATCCGAATAAAAGTTATATAAATAATAAATTTTGTATGAAGCAACGTATGTGTTTCATGATTTAATGTCAACTGTCGCACAGCCCGGACCGTATTGTGTTAACAATATGGTTATTTTAATTGTGATTCTAAATAAAATAAATTCTGAAATGTAAACTTATCAAAATAATAATACCAATTATATCTTATGAGCAATTATTCCTACGATCACATTATTAATTATCACAATCCCTTCACCGAGAACAGTAAGTATATTTTATTCACGAATCATGAAATCCAACCTGTTATACAGGGTGTCCCAAAAATGTCTCGCAAACCGAAAATGAGAAGCTCCTGGAATCACTTGACATAACCTTTTCCTTAGCGAAAATGCAACTTGCTGCTTCGTTTATGAATTATTGACGAAAAACACTGACAAATCAGAGGCGAGCTCGGCGCGAGGCGGCTGAGCCAACGAGTGGCCGAAGTCCGGCTCCGCTCATTGGCTCGGCCGCCTCGTGCTAGGCGAATGTGCTGAGCCAATGAGCGGCCGGAGCACAGTACCGCTGATTGGCGCGGCCGCCTCGCGCCGAGCTCGCCTCTCATTGATCAGCGCTTTTCGTTAATAACTCGTAAACGAAGCATCGGATCGCGTTTGCGCTGAGGAAAAAGTTACTTGAAATAACCTCAGGAACCCATCATTTCCCAATTTTACGTACATTTTTCGACACTCTGCGTTACTTTACTCAGGCACGCACTGTTATAAAAAGACATTAAGAGACAGTTTTTGTTAGTCGCTTTTAGACATCAGTGAGTTTAGTGTTAATAACTATGATTCTATCGGTAAGCTGATAATAGATAAAATTATTCAGATTGTCTCAGGAACCTCCCATTCTCGGATTGCGAGACATTTTTGCGACACCCTGTACATTAAAATCAACTTGTCATCAACGACATCGAACACACGAATATCCCGAATTCAATAATATTACATTCGTTTTCGATATTATAATTAAAATCATCGAAACCTTAAATCAATTTCAATTACTCGACGTTAACGATCCAGCTGTTATCTCGTTTAACGATCGTACTCGATTATCAGTAACTTGTATAATTAATCATTCGCGAACTGTTTAGTCGTTGGGAATAAAAAAAAAGAAATAGATGCCGACACCGGGACGAACGAATCGAATGACATCGATTATTAATTTTCCGTTAACGCAGCACCGAGGAGGTTAGAATAACGTTTTCTGGCAAGTTAAGGAGAAACAATGGTACATTCGTAATATGTATACGGAAATCATTCTCACCCATTATCCTAGCCGTGTTTCACCGAAAACGCCTCGGCCGGGACGATCCAAAAGGTGGACAAAGGACGCGCCGCGAGTGACCGCGACAAACGGCAGACAAAAGATTCGTGGATCCTCTTGGTAGGCAGCCGTAGGCGCTTGCTTGTCGCGCGGTTCCCGTCGAAATTGCGTCGCGGATCCCTCTCGGCGCGAGTGTAAACAACAAATATACGCACTTCTGATGCGAAGTGCACTGTAAACACAAATATTTGCGATAACCAAGGAGACGGTAGGCCGCGCCGCGCCGCGTCGCGTCGCTGCACGCGCCGGCCGGCCGGTTGCGCCATTTCTTTCTTTATCTCGCAGGCAGAGACATATTCAAAGCGCTCGCGCTTTCGCACGTACTAGCGACGTAACAACGCCCCCTTCGCGTTCGCGTGCGAGCGCGAACAATGCGCGGCGTCGTTGCGTTGGTAGAATTTTGGGCCGAGATTTACGGTACACACGTGTGCACCTGAAACGATCTAACCTAAAACGGTTCTCACGAGATCGCCATCACCGCTCGTGCTGCTACAGAGAATAAATTACGATCCAAAGACTCGAGTTTCCTGTGTGGCATCGTAGTACACAATTGCGTGGAGAAGATCATCGGTGCCGAGAAATAGCCGCGGGGGGCCCACGAACCGTGCGCGTGCGCGCATCGCGCCGGAATCGGCGAATCTCGGGCAAGGGGTAAATATTATCGTGACTCGTACGGACGCTAAAATAATCGACGGTTCCCTAGACGTGTTTTGCGGGGCCGATAAAGCGGTAAACGGAACGCGATCCAGATATCATTCGGACGGTTAGGTTATTTCCGTGGGACGTGCTCGTCGATATTTGTTTCTCTATTCCGTGAACCGAACTCGTACGCGAGCACGGTCGCAGAACGCGAGAGTGCGGCTCGTGCGCTACGGCGTGAATTTAAAAGCCGTGCCGAAGACGGGCTGGGACGGGCCGCGCCGTGGAAACCGAAAATATTCCAGGATTATTCCGCGCACGCGGTAACCGAGAAATCTCTCACCGCATCCGGCGCGATTAACCGTGCATGTAAGTGCTCTCTCTCTCTCGCGTTCTCTCTCAATCTCTTATGCGCTCTCTCTCGCTCTCTCGCGCTCTCTCAATCTCTTATGCGCTCTCTCTCTCTCGCGCCCTCAATCTCTTATGCGCTCTCTCTCTCTCTCGCGCCCTCAATCTCTTATGCGCTCTCTCTCTCTCTCTCGCTCTCTCCCTCTGTCTCTCACTCTCTCGCGCGCTCTCTCACTCTCTCTCTCTCTTCGCTCTCTCATTCTCTCTCTCTCTCTCTCTCTCTCTCTCTCTCTCTCTCTCTCTCTCTCTCTCCGACACAGATGCGCACAAAAACACGCTCGCGCGTGAACAGCATCGCCGTATCCCGAGACCGGGAACAATGACTCCAAAGAAGTCGACGTAGCGATTTTCCCGGCAACAAGTTTTACATTACACGGAACGGCGCGCAACGCGAGCTTTTGTGTTTCTCGGCCGAAGTTAACCCACGTCGAGACTTTTTTCGGACCCGAGACTCGATGCCCGACGGTTTGACGTCGTAAGGTTGATGCAAGAGAGTGAGAGAGAGAGAGAGAGAGGGAGAGATAATAACAACAACGAAAAAAAATTTTCGTTCGAAATGTTTGTATACACAAGGGTCACGGGTTCATCTGAATCCAACCGCTGTGGCGGTGCCGCGAAGGTTAAACTCCACGAAATATGTACGTTATTCGATTTAGAAACGTTCGTCTCGCTTCTCGACCATCGCGGAGCTGGATATTTTCGACGTACGGGTCTCGCAGGAGGAACGTAATCTACCGTTTATACGCGCTCGCGAAGGGGTTAAACGATCGCTTTATTATCCGGCCGTATTGTTCCGACCGTTAGGGGTGTCCACGTTCGGCTAAAAATAACGTTAATCAGCGCGGTTTTTCCTCTTCGGAATAGCATTAGCACTTTTGTCCGCGGCTTTCGACCAGACAGCGGTGCAGCGCCGGGACCGCGGTGCGGCCGAGCCGAGCCGAGTCGAGGTAAGCCGAGCGAAGCCGAGCCGGGCGGACCGAAGCGAAGCGGTGGTGTTTCACTTAGCATGCAGATAACTCGTTAAGGTGCAGCAGCCGTTTTATAAATAATTCGCGGCCAGTTCTAAAACGGCCAAGATTGTTGAACCGCCCGTACACCGGTGGGAGAGAGATTGCACGCACGCACACCGGCTAATTACAAGCGATATATAGAACGTGGCGGCGCGCACACACACACACAGCCGCCGGCCGCCGCCGTCGGAAAGAAAACCAGCCGCGATAAGGACACGTTGTGTTCCCGGGAACGTGTTCGACGGTCACGTGGGACGCGCCGATCGAAGAAGCCATACTTCGAGCGCGGAACAATAAATATTTAGCTTTCCTAGTAGAATCGTCGGCGATCTCCGGCCGCGTGCTACGTGCCGTTTCGCTCGTTTCATCCGTCGGTCGCGGTCGCATGCATCTCGATCGGCTTGTACCGATGTTCTACATGGTGTCCCAAAAATTTGATTGTCTCGCAATCCGGAAACGGCAGGTTCCTCGGATCGTTCGAAGCAACTTCTTCCGTTACAAAAATGTTCTCCGAGGCACCGTTAACGAGTTCTCAACGAAAGAACAGTGCGCCAATAAGAATCGAGTACGGCCGACGCGAGGCGGCCCAGCCGAGCAGCGCGCGAAGCCCGGTTCCGCTCGTTGGCTCGGCTGCCTCGCGCTAGCCGCGCTCGCCTCTCATTGGCACACTGTTTCGTTGATAACTCGTTAACGGTGCCTCGGAGAACATTTTTGTAAAGGAAAAAGTTGCTTCGAACGACCCGAGGAACCTGCCACTTTCGGATTGCGAGACATACAAACGTAATAAGTCATTGATCGTACTAGCAGAACGACGCGGAAAAGTCGCACGAAGTTCTTACTACGAACAGTTTACGCGATTCGAGTGTCTTTAACGATTCCAGCAATTTTCTATAATTTAACCTCGAATTCCAGAAGCTGCTCGGCGTCGCGCGTATTCACCTAAACCCGAAGTCTACAAATTGTTCAATTATGTACGACGGGAAGATCAATGTGTACATACATACATACATACACACACAAGAATTCCGATGGCCGCGGTAACGTATAGCGTGGTCCGGATTAGCACAACAAGATCAAGTCCGACGACGCTTTGCCGCACTCAGGCGAGGACAAACTCAGCGGGAATCATAAACGAGGGTAACAATATCAGAGAGCCGCGGAGCCCCGGGGGGGAAAATAGGTTGCCGTGCTTTTTGTAATACCGTTAAGAAAGTATCGTTAATCGATCACAGTTAGAGTGCAATAGGTCAGGAACAGCCTCTGACTGCGGCCCGCGACCTTATGCAATGGCTGCTCCTATGAATTATGTACTTCGGCGGTGTGCAGTTATCGCAACGCGATAAAGTAACAACGGTAGATAATAAATATACGCGCATATAATAGCGAGAAGAGGCAAAGGCTTGGGGAACAAAGTGCAAACTTCCCGGACTTCGAAGTGTTGTATAGTTTTCTGCCGAAACGAATATTGGCTGCTCGCATATTTCATCGCGCTCTAAATATTACGAAAGTTTCGCCGGAATCTGAATTTTCCGGCCGGGTTTTAATGGGCTCGAGTGCGGAGTGGGGGTGGGGGGGACTCTAGTCCGGTGACGCGTGTACATGTATGTGTGTACGTATGTATGTGTACGTGTATCGAGCGCCTTTAGAATATTACGATGCGACCATATCGACTGACGTTCACTTGCGACAATGGTGCATTTACATTTATTTATTTATTTATTTACGGTTTACATTTACACCGCGGACACGTTGTAGATCGATAATCGATCCTTAACACGCCGAGATCAGAGTTGGGCGAAATTTTATTCGACGCTATCGAACAAATATACGATCTAGGAACATTCAAGCTAGATAAAAATTTATTAGAATAAGATTTTATTAGAATAAACATTTATTAGAATAAAAATTTATTAGAATAAGAATTCATTCGAATAAGATTTTATTAGAATAAAAATTTAATAGAACAAGATTTTATCAGAATAAACATTTACTAGAATAACAATTAATTCGAATAAGATTTTATTCGAATAAAAATTTATTCGTGCAGCAATTCGTACGGAAAATAATCCATATGGATAAAAATCGACTGAATATAAAGTGTTTCTTCATAATTTATCGATTTATGTATTTTTCCGGTAGATCGATCACCGGTGCACTAAATACTCTTAATCTTAAATAATCTTCGGATGCCGAAGAAGACATCGGCAATTTTATAATTCTGCAAGTAGATACTTGAAATTCAACTCTGATCCCGAGCAATGCATTCGCATAAATATATTCATGCAAAATTACACGCAAACGAAAAAAAAAAGGTTATCAATTATACGCATATTGTTATTCGAATGATTTTACAATCTCGAATAATTTATTCCGGGGAACAAACAATTGTCCGAATAATTTTAACCGGATAAATAATCGTTTGCAACGAATAATGAATAATTATGTTGTTCGACCGAAACGAATTCGATCGGACAATTATTTTAAACAAACGTTCGTACGAAACTATTCGATCAGATAATTATTCTATACAAATATTGATCTAAAACGATTCGAAGAACGCCGAACTTTGCTCTAGATCAAACGATACCGCGCGTGCCTGCGAAACTTTGCACTTATGTTTATCGCGTCGCGGCTCGCCTCCTATACATTATACATATACCGTACTAATAAACGTCTAACAACTTTGACTTTTATGGTGCTTTGATTTCGAAACCGCGGCGCCGTTTGCACAATTCCGTGCGCGGCTGAAAAGTAAGTGAATTTCCAACGTGACTCACGGAGAATCAAAGGGACAACAACAACGGCAACGCGCGAGAGAAACGTTTCCGAATTCGTGGCTCGTGACCGCCGTTTGAATTGCGTAGTAGTAGAGTGCCTACTGCGTGCCCCGGGCGGCAGCGTTCTATGCGCCGGCGGATGAGTCATCGTGCTTCTCAGGCGATACGCGGAACGAGGATACAATAACCCAGCTGTCGGTTTTTCGCCGCGCGGGATTTACATTTGCGCCGCGCCGTCAGAGGCGACACACGTGTTGTAATTAGCGTGCCGCCGCGCGTGTGTCGGCGGCTACGACGGAACGAGATAACGAACGAACGATAACGTTCGCGATATACAT